AGGATCCACCATTTGGCGCGTTTCAATCGCTGACAGTTTCAGGGGTTTTTCTGCTGTCCGCGAAATCAACGATGGTCGTGGTTGTGTTAGTGTGCCACTAGTACTACTACAAGATTAACGGTCATCCAAGCATCATACTGGATCGCGGTACAGTTGATTGCGTTGACACTCGTGGAAGGATTATTGAATGAAATGAATAGAAATATGCTCAGAAATTGCTAGCAGCAATTTGTGATGTGAACCGTGGTCACTTTCCCGCATTTCCGAGCTAATTTTGTTTGTTCGAGTCACTAAGGTTGTCGCCACCCTGGCGAAAATGCATTATGGACAGCAACCATTCATTTTTTTTTTCTTCGGTATGACGAAGTAATTGAGAAATGAACCAGTTGAAGTTATTGTGCTCATTGAATATTTCAGGTAAACACTTTGTTTGAAAGTCTATGATTATGGGACTTGGTAAATCATGATGGATTCGCTACTCTTTATCACAATCTGTGGTCACTGTTCTGAACACCGATCGAGCCGCATAGAGAAATCTACTCGTCGTTCCTAACCGTATCACTTCACTCAGATTCATTGGAAATTTGAATCGCACACCGGATAGCTATCTTTTGTTTAAACCTATTTGCTGAACCTTAGTGTAAAAGAAAGGAACTCTTTAATGCGAGCATAATGCAGTTTTTTACTTGAAGACTTAGATGGTTATGGTTCACGAATAGCCAAGACCACATCACAATTTCCACAACATCACGTCTTGTCAGTTGTACAGCTTTTTTTCCTATTCAAGCCAGCAAACTCATTTCATGGCTTTCTCAAGTCGTTATCGCAAGCAGTCACTGATGTTAAAGGCAGGACTGCCGTCTTAAAACTATTTTTTTCTGGAACAGCTGCGATTCATTGCATAATTTTACACTCAGGTAGTTTGAAAACTGGAAATTTCGGTCTCCTACTCGTCTTGAGCGATTTGTTGAGGGATGAACGGCGCACACTATGACCCGGATGGTGTAGTGGTGAAGTCCGCTGCTCCCCGGTAAGGACAACAGCGCGTGTTCGTTCCCCACTGCATACACCTGTGGTCCGGAGTTTTGCAAATATCTCAGCACTTCATAAGAGTTTATATATTTCACAACATACCCTGCCATTAAGAAGAAAGAGGCAGTAAATAAAAGAGTTAAGATGGCGCACACTATGTTAGAGTTTCATGTACGGAAACATAGCGTTTCACGACGATGCGGAAAAAAGATGGTGTAATCAAGTTGGAATGTTTATCTGTGTAATATTAGACTGCTTGGAAGCCAGTCCAGAATGTCAACCCGTATTGGTTAAAGTGGCATGTATAAACTCAAAACAAACTTTATTTAGTTGCCTAAAACTGTGAAGTTTTGAAAATGTTCAGGATCAAATATGCCACGACAAGACTTTATAAACCAATGTTGCGCTGTGCTTTCGATAACGCTTCCTTTGTCCCGTATCTCAACAATGCTTGGAACCGCCTTGAAATCCGAAATTCTGACGTTTAAAATTTGTCAAAAACGCAGTTTTTATTATAATTCAATTATAACGGGCGAGGGTTCATAAAATTCGATCCGAATTTAGTTCCCAAGCAACCTAATACATCCTCCCTTTACAACGTATATTTGGTTCAAATATGACATATTAAAAATCAGAGTTTTCAACGCATCCATAGTGGAATTCATTCTCAGGCATAGTCCTTTCATTTACTGAATATGTACCGTTGAAAGACCTTATAAAGGATAATCACCTTTGATTTGTCGCGTTAAAGTGTAAAGCACTTGACGTTAGGTTTTTAGCAGGACTCATTAGGTTAAAAACGCACCATAAATTCGACTCCATTCACAGCATGGCAGAGTTGATCTAATGAATGGTTATTTGGCCCTTGCAATATATAGCTCTAGGCTGTTGATGTATCAAATCAATGTTCTTATTCTTCCAAACAAGTGTGATGGCAGTTTGCAGACCCTGAGCTGATGGAGGATTCCTAGTGTATGGTTTGGCATCGGACCTTCGACGTTCTGCATTTTGCAATCCACTTCTAGTTAGTGCGCTACAAGCGCGTTTTGACATCTGTTAGAGAGGAATCACGCCCTTGTGGTAAGAAACTCCAAATGCACAGCTCAAGATTGCATATTATCCCTAACGTTAGAAATGGTGATTACATGTGTTCGGACACGGTCTATTTGATCTCTTATAAAACGTGCGAAAACGAATATGTAGGCGAAATGGGCAGACCAGTTAAACTTAGAGCTAGAAATCCACTATACCATAACAGAGGGCGATAACAGGTAAGATTTGAAATAAGAATAATAACAAAGTTTTCGGTGTTGATCAATCTCTTATGGATGGGCCATGCATTCGATTTCTTTAAGCTTCGTTTAAAGGTGATTGAATTCATATCTGGTCTACACAGTGACTAGCGGTGGCCTGCTGATGTATCGAATCAGTGCTGCTATCCTCCCAGACAAGTCTGGAACCAATTTGCTGCCCCCGAGGGAATGTAAGGCTATGTATGCTTGGAGTGCGGGATCGCTCCTATATGTGCCTTTAACCACTGCTCTCCATGGGAGGCTTTTGGAGTAGAACGTGTTCGGCTTCGAGGCTTCGCCTAATCCGCAATATTAAACAGCCTCTAGCCTACCGACTAGCACTTCTTCAAGCCCCTGACAATTTCCTGGGCAAGAAATACTTCACCACCACGATGACGCAAAAAGTGCCTTCAACGAATTCATCGGTTCCAGAACTCCAAAATTTCATGCAACTGGAAAAAAATGGATTCGTTTCTCGTTGGAAAATGTATAAATTTAAGTGGCTCTTTTTCTATTCTGGTTAATAAAGTTTTGTCTGAAGCAACTTATGACGGTTTAGATAATATAGTTGAAAACGCTCGTTTATTTCTGAAGCTCCTAATAAAAGTGTGTACGGATTGTCTCCAACAGTAACTGGAGGGCTTGTAAAGAACAAAGAGGTGAGTGTCTAAAATGAGCTGCCTTCCACGTAAATGAAAGCCTTAGAAATTTCTATATAACTAAGACGACAATTTGTATTCTTTCTTGATAAGCTTGCACGAGGTTGATAAATATATTTATTTTCGGCTAACGTTTCGACGTCTTCGTCTTCCTCAGAGCCGGTGATCCGAGTCGATGGTCCATGCTTGTTGTTCGCCTCGACGTTGCGTCTTCGCCTTCCTGTCGAGCCAGATCTTCCTCAGCGAGCCATCTTCTCGAATGAGGCATCCAAAATCTCGAATGAGGCTTCTCGAATGAGGCATCTTTCGAAATAAGACGACAATTGCTCAAAGTCATTGATCTCATTGCCGAGATTCAATGAAAGTCGGTTTTTAAGATCTCAAAAATTTTACAGTGCTTTTTCGGTTCGCATTAGAAAGTGTTTGGCTGAGCGGATTCTGTGTCGATTGTACGTCTTCAAACCCTAAAATAAGCGAAAACACCGAAACGCCAGCTGGTATTGGATAAATCTTGTTATTGATTGCCTCACATCTACGCAGGAATAGAAGGGAATAGACTTGTCGAATTTAATAGAAAGTCAGTCGTAAATGGCTAGCTAACTAACTGATTTGAGATGAAAATTTTAGAAAAGAGTCCGTTAAAGTGTGATTTTCCGGTAAGTACGGAACGGTAACTTTGGCAATAACTCCTGTAGGCGCTTAAATTTACGAAGTAACTTCTACGTCCACAAAAATACGTCGAGAGTGTGTTCGGTTCGGGCTTCTTCTTTAATGTTTAGTCCATTGTGACTGAGGACAATGGAAGATAGTATTCCTGATTATAGAATTGTAGTCCACACCACGGTCGTCAAATTTTTCTCGGACCATCCATCATATGTGCTGCACAGACTCAATAGCGCTACTATGCAGTGACCGAACTAAAATAGTAGTAACAATAATAAGTCATTGCCCTGAAAATCATTTCGATTAAAGTTAGTCGTATTATGGCAGATTTATTCTAAAAGCTAGCAACTACCGATGACGACGACTGGGGTGCTCTCACATGGTTACTTCAAGACTCTAGAGGAAAAGCTCTTACAGTCGTCACCTGTTGAAGCATTTGTGAAGATGGGTTTTCTGCGTCATAGAATCTTGGTATAGTGCAAAGCAAAGGTAGTAGAACAAGCCTTTATTTTTCAAATTCTAATGTAGAACAGCAAACACAGAAGAACAAACAAGAAGATTCATAGGAGAATTCTCTGGGATATCTCTAGTATAGTTCACGTCGTTTCAATAGACATGGAGAAACTATCTTCACAATGAAATCAGTCATGGATTCCGACTTTTTGTAGAAAACATGTGAATGTTGTGGACGAAGATCAACATATTGTTATGCGGTGCTTGGAAGAAGGCGTTCTGAAACCCCGAGTAGAAGTTATAGGCAATTTAAATAGGAGAGAAATAATATGTGCAAATGAAAAAAACGCGTTCCGAATCATCCCACTTTAGATACGCTAGGGGATTATGAAAACCTAAAGCATAGTCGTTCTTCTTTACAGTCTCTACAGTAAGCATAAAGATCATAACACTGACATGGAAACTATATGACTAGAAGACCAGAGTAGTCATAAAAATACAGAAAAGGAATCGTGTCATAAATTGATGCATGACACAAAACCATCTATGTCAAATGAACGACAGAACTCAGTCAGTTCTGTTAAACGACGTTCGTCAATCGTACTCATCGCTGACATCCTGGAATTTCAGATTTCAATCATAACGTAAAAACTTCATTAAAAAATACCTTAGACACTTCTTTCACCTCCAAAACACATAACGTAGAAGTTTCAGGAAAACCTTAGACACTTCTTTTATCTCTTAAACACTACAAAAGAGAATCTTCTATGTAGTAACCGTCCTATTCTAACTCATAATGGTGAAGCAGAAAAAGGATCCCATCAATAGAAAACGACGTCTTTAGAAACACCTTATGTTTTTATTCTATACCTTGGATTTTCTATGAATAGCAATCGTATACCTACCTGACGCTAAAGTTGTTGCAACCGTCTTCACCGATTGTCCACTTCCAGTCCACGTCAATCTTCAGCGGGGTCACTAATTTTACTTCCAACATTTTCTTGTCATAGCCCTCCAACCCTAATCGTAAGTGTTGGCGTTTCTGAAATTTCTGGACTTCAACTACGATATCGTGAGCTCTTAAGCCAACGGCACTGCTTTTCTACCCTTCGATTTTCTACTAAACCTCTTTAAGCCCCAAATCACTAAACCAGCGGCCTTGTGACTCTACAGAAGGCGAAGGAGCAAAAATATAACCAACATTGAAAGGTTTATAACAACTTGATATAACTCATTAATGCAGAAAAATATTGATCTTGCCTTTTCATGCCGAGTCTAAGTTAAATCCAAGCTCCAGAAATAAACCATTGAAGAGCAGTGGTACAGTTAACGATTTTTAAAAAAATCCTTATTGCGCATAGATTTTCATAGTTCATACATATAAGCCAAAGAAAATATGATAAAAAAACTTGCATGATTCGAATTTGGAAGTTGAGCATATGTGAAGGCGTTTCTCCATCGTGGAAGTTCCGAGTGAGTCTGCGGATCTCTGGCTAAGTCGGCGTTTGTACCGCCGTTACAAGAACGCCGACCACCTCGCCATTCACACGTTGATAAATGCCATCTTAAAACTTTTCGATACTTTGTTAAAAAAAACTGATGGGAAGTGAATCTGGGAAACGCCCACGGAATGGTAGAATGGTATTGCATTCCAATATTCCGGAACAACCAGTATACTGCTAATTCTACTTCTGGCAAATGAGAAATGACAATGCGTTGAATAATAGGCAATTCAGAATGTTCTCTTTGCTTTCCGAACACAATGCCGGCAACATTTTTACTATCTTAACCTTTTTATTTACTGCCTATTATTTTTAATGGCAGGGTAGGTTGTTAAATATAATTTTCCTAATGCTGAGATATTTGCAAAACTCCGGACCGCAGGTGTCTGCGGTAGGGAACGAAAGCGCTATTGCCCTTTCCGGGGAGTAACGCGTTCACCACCACACCATACGGGGCCTTCATTTCGTCTGTCTCTCAGTTTTGCAAATATCTGAGCATTATGAAAGTTATATTTCACAACCAACCCTGCCATTAAAAAGAATGATTTGGAGTCCCCAAATAAATCCCGTTGACGGGTGACTGCTGATGGCTGTGATCGATAGAACTAGCTGAGAGACAGACGAAACGAAGGACCCGCATGGTGCGGTGGTGAACGCGTTACTCCCCGGAAAGGACGATAGCGCGTTCATTCCCCACCGCAGACACCTGTGGTCCGGAGGTTTGTAAATATCTCAGCATTATAGAAGTTATATCTCGCAACATACCCTGCTGTTAAAAAGAATTGGCAGTAAACAAAAGGATTAAGAGTATTTTTACTATTTTTCATGCTATCGATTTCAATAGTGCTTACCTAACAGCGACTTTATCCCAGTGCTTGCAACGAAGCGCCTCGGATCCGTTCCATTTGTAGGTTCGACTTCCGATCAATTCCCACTGTTCTTCATCTTTCTAGAGATAAAAATGACTCGATGGACAAAGGTGTTCTATGAAAGCGACACAGTAAAGTACAAGATAAAACTTGTTATGTCAATCTTTCTAAAATTATAGCTAATGAGAGCAATAATGGAAGTCAAAAATCAAGAACATCAATAATATTGCATGATTATAAGAACAACCGTTGAAGGTTGATATTTTGAGCATTTTCTTTTGCATGTAAATAATTTTTACAACGTGTCATCCATCAATGAGTAACTGATAATTTGCAAGTTATTTAGAAGTTATCAAAGGTCAAAGATCATCTTCAAGTCAAAATCATTCCAAAATCATGAGAAAGTTAGAAAAGCCACTGGTTACTTTTTAGGCTTTCGATAGAAAAAGACGAACCCGCCGGTCTAAAAACGAGGTTACAGCGAGTGATATGGGACCGGGAGACCGAGGTGTGTAACCTGCGATAGGAGAACAACTGCCTCCCACGATACGACGATCATACCACAGCAGTCGTCAGTGGCTTGCTCACTCGAGTTGACAGCGAAATCCACCCCGGCCTGATATCCTCTTTTGTCTTCACTCTTTCATATCTTTAGACACTAACGGCTCATTTTTAAGTTGTAGTCTTCTTATACTACTGTTAGAAAAACAATGAATATTATACGGTACAAAGCTACTCAGCTTGAAAAGCTTTGCAGTCTGGCCAGCTAAAATTTCTTGTAGAACAAGTGCTGTATATAATAGAGGATTTCCTCTATCGTTGCAAATAGTACTTTTCTCAACTGAACTTGTACTAGATTCATTTTAGTTACAGCCTTTTTCGGCTTTATATTTTGAAGTAGTATGAAGTAGTTCCAAGCATAATAAGCTCGTTGGTGTTATGAACGAATCGTGAAGGGTATATCGATATTTCGTGGAAACCTATGCACTCTTGCGCCCATAAGATGTGAAAAACTAATAAAAAAAACCAATCGATATTTTTGTGTGCAGTGAAGAACTCTCCTTTACGGAAATTTGGAACCATTTAGGTGTTTTCTCTGCCGTTTTCATTCTTACGGCGTATGGGTTCAGATTTAACATCGAATTCTTTCACGTTGATAAAACGATGTATCTTTCACATATAGTTCTAGAAAGCACATCAGCCTAAGAATCCCATACAACTAGCTGAGCTAGTGCGACAGCTGCAAGTGATCTCAGTGTTCGGATGCTCGCCTATTGATCAGAACAGTGTTGCGAGTGCTAAGGATTTCTTTCAGCTAGTGTTTATGAGGGAATTCCTGACATAGAAAAGGACGCCATCATAACCTATCACTGTGCCCCAAACAACTGACGTAGCGGGCTGAAATCGAAATCTCGATGGCGCACCTTGGTCGATTTATTTGCTCGCCATTGAGCCGAAACGCAGTAGTGTTTGTGACATTATTGTGATCGCAGTATTATAATATGATTCTAAGTAGTTTCATTTCAAGAGTATATTGATAGAAGAAAAGTAAGACTGTTTCCATTCAGAGTTGGAACCACTCTGATAGAATACTGATACCTCAGCTAATAGATTAACCACTGGCAGCTAAGAGAGCCTGTATCACCTGTAATCCTGTTGATCGTCAAATAACTCGAGCGGGCGCCAGTAAATCTTCCATTTTTCACTGTCGCGTGCAAGAGTAGCCCGGTGAGTTCTGCTCGCTCTATTCGTCGAGCATCGCATCTTTCTTTTAGGCTCTTCATGAAGAACTCTGACCATAGCTAAGAGAACAAAAGACTTAATAACCTGTCGTTTCACTATTATAGAACTGTCATCAACTGAGAAGGTCAGATTAATGGCTCGGCTCGGCTTGGCTTTGAGGTTCCGTCATCATTTACCCTCAATGACAAATAGAATAGACTGTGACCTTGGTTTTTTCTCCAGAATAGCGGAATATCCTTGATCTTTCTCGTAGTCAGTCACCGACTCTTCGTTATAGGAAGGAGGTTTAGTGCTTTATAAGAAGACGATTCTTCCATGACGGCAATTATTTATGTGTGAACTGAGATTCTCGCCATTAGTCAGCGAACCGCCTGACGACGATGTGTAGAAAGCCTAATGCAGAGATCGAAATAATAAAACAAATGGTGACAGAAAACAGTGTCGTCGACCTACAACGACATTATCGACGGAAAGGAAAAGATAATAGAAAGGCAAATATAGTACACAGAGAAGACAATTCTAGTCAAGAAAAACAATACTTTCTCCTGCATTTTTCTTGTGTAAAAAGGCTTATAAAAATATTAGAAGTCCATGTAAAGAACGCATGAATTTGTTCTATTTCGTTATTATCACTTCCTTTCTTGGATGACTTTTTGCGAACACATTGTTGTCATACGATAGATAAAACATTAATTTGGGATTCTCAGATCAATCCCGATGACGGGTGATTGCTGATGTCACTAGTCGATAAAACCAGCTGAGAGACAGGTGAAACGAAGGACCCGCATGGTGTGGTGGTGAACGCATTAGCACCCGGAAAGGGTAGTCCTGCCTTCGTTCGCCACCGTAGACACCTGGGGCCGGAGTTCTGCAAATATCTCAGCATCAGTGTGATTGTATCAAACATAATACCCTGTCATGAAAAATTGTAATAGGCAGTAAACAAAAAAACTAAAATTGGGATAAAACGTTATTAAATATTGTTATTGAAAATGATTCTCTGTATGGAAACATCCACAGCTATCATTTCCTACTCGCGCGACTCAATTTGGAAGAAACCATTGGAGAGAAAAGCCATTTGTTCATCAGTCGCTTCGTATCGTAATCGCAACACTTAAATTTTCTACGCTGGCTTTTCATAAAAGGTTGTTTAGGCGTAAATAAGGATGACGTTTAGGATTGCTTCGCAGCTATTGACTTACGTAGAAGAGGTTCAACGGTGACATTGAAGCTAGCTTTTATATATGGAGAAGCACATTTTTTCTATTGTAGCACCATTTCGTTCCAGTTCTTTACGACGAATATTAGTGATAAGACCTTAACTGCATTCCCATCGAATGATTCAGCCATAACGATCGTGAAAGCAAGACTGTATGTTTAGCGCTGATGACTACAAGGAAAACGTTATTCCTATCGATTGCAAGCGTATTACGCAGAGGTTAGAGGTGCACTGTAATACACAGTGGATCGGTCGCTGGCTCCATCCCGCGTCCTTAGCTAAGCAAGCTGACTGTCCATTAGGGGTCACAAAATAGTCTATCGAGTGATCCATTATTATAACGCTAGATGAAAGCTGTAAAGTTACACAAAAACGTTTCAGATGTCGGATTATCTCGGATGGAGTGAACGACAACCACCAGTAGGTACAAAAACTTCCCAATTTAAGGAGGACTTTATACAGGGTGGGCCGGTCACTCATAGCTACGAAAAGTACGTGAAGAATATTTTCCATCCTATGAACCGAATGAAGAGGGTACGTTTATGTCTATAAAAGAGATATTCATGTGTATTAAAGGGTAAACTATTTTTTCTAAAACCACAGTGAAGATGTCCATTGAACGTCTCTAAAAATGTGAAGAATATCGAGGAGTAGAGTTTAAAAGCCGGATTAGAGGCTTAGAAAATTCTGGAAAAGCTAGCTGGGAGAAGTTTCGCTAGCAGTTTCGCTAGCAGTTTCGTTATTTTCACAGATAAAGTCACGTTTTTTTTGACGCTAAAAAGTCAAGTTATCAGGAATCACATAGAAATTATTCAAATAATCATAAGAACAGGAGTTTGAGCCCTTCATAGGTTGAATACTACCGAAAGTTGTCCAGCTTTCGGGTCACTTGATTCCTATTGAAAAAGCAGAAACCTAAATCCTTCATTGCTCATTGTCCTACATATCTGAGGAACAGCTAGAGATCGAAGCTGGTGAATCTACAGCTAGAATTCTTCTTCTACAGGACACTTCACAAATGATAGCAGACAATGGGTTGTCGGCTTCAAGTATGCTGAAAATGGAGCGTACCCTTGGTCGCTACGCCATCGACGATTCACTTGATGTTATCGACGACGACAATCATGTGTTTATGAAGAGTCCACTGGATTCGTTATACTCCGAACTAGGCGTGAAAAGTCCAGAGGTCAGTGCTTCACATTGTAGTCCTACTTTCCTAATGATTTTTGTGTTTAGCATGAACATTATCGACAGTATACTGTCTATATTCCGAAGCAATCCAGTGAATACTTTGCGATTTCTCATGGAGGATATCGTCGACCTGAGAGATCTCAAGTGAGAATTGCTATTTGCACCCGTTCTTTCCTCCTTGCTTATTATTTTTCATGGCATCGATCCGTTTTTTATTTCTATGTGAATCTTTTTTGAAATATGTTAAGATTTCTACAAGTGATTAAAACCATATAAGGCAATGATAAATCTGCAAAGAAGAAGAGTTAAACGCCAGACTAGATCTTCTCAAAAACAGAGTTACCCCTTGACTCACTACGAAAGTAATTTAACTTCATCTATAAAGGGATCGTTAACTTCTAAGTTCCTCTACTAATCACAGTTTTCCTCTTTGTCCTGATCCACCCATCTTTAAATTACCACTGATGAAATCGTCTTTAAATCCATGTTACGGTAATCGATAATCCTATTTTTCTATAACAACTTGTTGCCGACTAGTTTTTTATAAGCTGGCAGCAAATTAATGGGAAAAAATGAACAAGCAAAAGAAGTTTGAAGACTTCAAACCCCACCACAAATCTCAGGAATTTTATCCAATGATTTAGGCATGATGAATAAAAAGTACTAAACTTCTCTAAGAAGACTTTATTGGTATTCCATGGCTTCGATCGGATCTCAAACTACTTGAAAATGATGTCAAAATAATATAAATTGAATGAAGCAAGCCTTAACTAAATATACTTCATATCTTCTCGACTCCCACAATATAGGACACACATACTGTATTTTCTATTCGCACTTCCATGGGAACGTTCAGAAGCTTAGATACTTTTTCCAGAGTTCCTGGTGCTATTCGTCATTTCGTGAAAGAGGCGATGAGGAATACGCAAAAAGTAATCACAAAACTCTCATCGACTATAAGGAGTTCGATAGGTACCGGCATTTTCTATTTCGTATAGATTCACTTAATTATTCCCTCTATTGCTTATCGTGTTAACAGCGCTTAACGAAATGCATTGATATCAGTGCATATTCTTCCTGATTGATCTCGAAACATTTCTCTCTAGGATGTAATATACGTACTATTCTTCATGGTATTTTGTAGTTCTCACATGAAAATCCAAACAAGTTGAGTTACTTCAGCTTTACACCTTTACATCTTTACAGTTTAGTTACTTTGGTTGAGTAACACTAAACAAGTAGAGATTGACTGTCGTGGCCCAGTATTCGTTGCCAGAATTCGCTATGCGCTGGACATCACACTTTGTCTCTAAACGCTTCCCATCTGGGATTCTCAGATCCCGCTACGTTACTTCATAGATCATTTGAACCTATTTCTATATTTTTAAAACAAAAACTTCTTCATTTGCAAAAAAAAATTGAGGAGATTCTCCTCGTTTAAATGTTCTTCTTGATTTCCTATGCGCTTGAAAGCCTCCGATGGTGGCTTCATTTGACCTTATTGACTAGAAAAGCTGTGAATGATAATAGTTTTTGTCATTGAAACTCTATTTTAAACAGTGTAGAACGAAAATTTTTAAAAAATTGTAACGTTAACGTTTCATCTGCTGGGTGATTGACGGGTGATTACTGATGGCATTGATCGATAGAACCAGCTGAGAGTCAGGTGAAATGAAGGACTTGCATGGTGTGGTGGTGAACGCCTCAGCCTTTAGCCGTTTAGTTAGCCCCCGGAAAGGGTGTAGTAGCGCGTTCGTTCCCCACCGCAGACACCTGTGGTCCGGAGTTTTGCAAGCATCTCAAAATTGTTAATATGCCTGGAAACGGCGTTAATTGGAAGACTGTTTATACCGTTAACCCAAGTTTTTTCTCCTGTAACTACTCTACTAACTACAATTAGGTAATTACAAACAGACTTAGTGTTCAAATGATTACTAAATTAATATGAAATTTTCCACAAGTACGCTTTTTTCTATCCCTCCCTTAACTAATAAAGAAAGACTTTTGCAACCATTACACGAATTTTTCCCCATTCGTGAAATTAAAAAAAAAGAATGCTATTCAAATACAACCGTAATGATGCTGAGGTACTTGCAAAACTCCGAGCCGCAGGTGTTTGCGGTGGGGATCGAACACCCTATTACCTTTTCTGGGGGTTAACGCGTTCACCACCGCACCACGCTGGTCCTTCATTTCGCCTATCTCTCAGCTAGTTTTCTGTCGATCGGTGTCATCAGCAATCACCAGTAAACGAGATATTGATTGAATTGTGCCTTTAAGCTTTATTATTATTATTTTTAATCATTATTCGGAAGCATCTTCAGACCTGACGACTATCAATATGTCTATGACGGTTTCATGTAGTAAGTTCGTGCTTAATGTAACAGCGTGTTGTTAGCACTTGTTAGCACGTCTTTCATAGTCAGCACCTCATGGTAGTATTAATTTTTTCGTGTTAACTTATTAGTATACGGTGTGTATCAGTGGTTAGAGGATGTCTTGTAATACACGAATGATCGCTAGCTCGGTCCTGTGCAGCAGGCTAAGCAAGCTATCTACCCCTCCAAGGCTAGTAAACTGGAACCAAACATGTCCGGAAGGATGAAAAGTACTGACTTGATTCGTCGACCAAATATGAGGTCAATCTCTTCCACGATGCGTAAGGGAGTCGAGTAGATGAAGCAACTTCAATGAGTTGCTTAAAGTTGAGCGCCTAATTTCTAACGTTATTAACCAAACATAGACAGATTTAAGAGGCTTTTGAAAGCACACGAACGTGATAATTTCGATCGCTTCAAATAATTGGTGTGAGATACTCGGCAGTGAACAACGCTCGAGATGAAAGAATGTGATCCGCGAAAGTGCTATGCTCGTGTAGATCTTCAAACCTTTACTAAATGGGAATTTATACGGTATAAGTTGCTAACGCTAGGACCCGATAATCAGAATGGAATCTGAAGTGCCACATTTGTAATGAAGAGGAAGAAGAGTCACTCTTCATCTAATCACTTCTTCCTTTTCCCTTGCAATGTGATCGGAGCTGTTCAAGCTCAGCCCTTGGCATCCACATAGTTTCACAATTACTATTTCTGGCCTCTTCTAGCTAAATAATAGAAAGTAAAAACAATGCGTCTTTGCTAGAATTGTTTATACTTCTTTGTAATGTAGTGGAAAGTCTGATGAATTGTGAACTTTTGTCAAATATGACTCGAAGCGTTGAACGTTTTAGCTCACCGCTATCGCCATATCTCTATCGTGATCATCCATACGTCAGAACGCAGGATACACGAATCCTTGGATCGAATTTTGTACAGGTAAAAGGAGAACCTTGAAGAAATTTCCGTCCAAAAAGTTACTCACGGTCCGAGTGGACTGAGTAAAAATTTCTGCGTAACAATGTTTTGCAGTAATTTCCATTAATTTTTGTATTTATAGTTGACATCTCGGCCCAAAGATCGCTTTCTGGAGAAGATTGATCAGACATTGGCAGAAGTACGAGCGATGCCCAGATACGATTAATGTAGAGGAGACTTTCAGAATTATTTATGCGTTTTTGCTGCAAAGAATGTTCTTCACCTTGATGAATCGTTCATTTCTTCATTCATTACTCTTCTCTATCTGATGGACTTAGTCTGTGGCAATTTGTCACCAAGTCAAAACCTTAATAAAAAAAAAAAAGTGATAAACGACTTTGTCATCAAGAAGGAACCGAAGTGAAAGAGAGGAGCCCGAACCAGCCAATCGAGAAATGACAGTGATCAGTACCATGACGAAAGGCTATTCTACTGCAAAAAATACAAAAGAAAACAAAAATCGACGAAGGAAGGATTTCAATAGGAGAAGTGTCCAGGCGTGTTTATAGTTCAGTTTCCGAAAATTCACGACTGCACTTACATATAACATTTGTCTATAATAAATAAAGCAACCCTTCATGTAACCCTTTAGTGATCTTTCAAATAAGTGCCTTATTGCACTTGAAGCGTTAGATTAATTCATAAAATAGATACATAGAAGGAAAATAAGATTCTCAGTATGGATCAATCCCTCAGAGATGCACCATCTCTTTGATTCATCAAGCATCGTTACAGGTGACTGAATGCATACTTGGTCTGCACAATGATTCTCGGTAGCCTACCGATGTATCGAATCAGTGCTGCTATCCTCCAAGACAGGTCTGGTACCACTTCACCGACCTCAAAGGGATGGAAAGCGTGGTGAGCATGGGGCGCGCGATGGAACCTGTGTGTATTGCAGGGCACTGTGCTATACGCCCCCCTTTAAAATGATACAAATGATGCAAATTTGAAATATTAAATATTTGGTTAACGAAACCAAATTGCATTATTATACGACTCGTTATCTGCGGATCCCAACACTTCTTGCATTCAATTCGTTTTCCTCGCATTCATCGTTCACAAAGGTCTTTCAACACTTCTCGTGCATGTTCAACTGCTACTTGAGAAATTCGCCTTCTTTATGAACGTCATAGAATTCTAGTCGAGTGGATTCTCTTTGCAATCTTGGAGACAATCAATCCAAGGCGTTCCCACGTGGAATGGGGAAATGTATGAAAGGGGTCGATGCAGAGCCTCGCTTACTGACGGACTCTGCATCACTAACCACTCCACTTGCCCATGCTTCATTCAAAAGTTCATCTTATTCTTCTACTGGTGCATCGTTTAGTGTCTCAAATGTTAAAAAAAGATGTACAGATAATTCAAATAGTTAAATAATTCTTCAAGGTTAGCTAAAAGTTAAAAATAGACTCAGCAACAGTAATTCACTACTACTAGAGCGTCTGCTAGGAGAAGTATTAGTACCTAGTATTGTTTTCTGGCTAGTAGTACTGGCATTGGTCTCCGGGTAGCAACACTAACACCTTCGAAAATCTGACGCATGTTCCAATCGTTAGTTGCGGACGGACAGGCTTTTTTTAAAATTCAGTCCTTGTAAAAATAACCGTTGACAACTAAATTGTAAGAACTTCAAAACTGAGAGTTACTACTTTTCAACCATCTTGTACATCGAGCTAAGGGACGTGCACAGAAAATAATAACAGCGAAATGTTCTGTTGTTCTGTTCAGAAATATCAGATTACTAATGGCCGCCGTAGAAAAACAAGAGTATAAATCAGATTAAACGAGAAGTTTACAGTTAAAGTTAAGAGCTACTGTTCCACTCAAAGTGTTCAATGGCCTCTTTAATTCTGATAGTGGTAAAACTTTAAATAGAAGTGCCGAATTTTAAATAAGGCTTGGATTTAAGCGCTTCTACATCTTCTGTTTCCGATTGAAAGACCACATCATTCAGTACGTAGATGAAACTGCTGAATAGTTTACCTGTGAGTAACTATTGTAGTAAGGTGTTGAGCATTGATTATATTGAAAGCAAGCCAGCTTCAGTTGAGCTTTAATTTTTCTTAATTGTCCTGAACGTATTCAGGAGACAAAAACGAAACAAAAACCCGGTTGAGCATCGAGAATTTTAGGAAGAGAAACATTCCTAGCCTTTCCGTACTCACTTTATCCAAAAAAAGCTGATGAAGTGAAAATCTCATCAGGTCACTAGTGAAAAGCTTCTATTGCTTAGAATTAGATACATAAAATTAAACCACTAATTTTCCTCTTTTAAAAAACAATGAAGAAACCATATTTTCCAATAACTTTACAAACTGCTTAGAAAAAATCGAAAAAAGGTATTAGCAAGAGTTTGGTAGATTTTCCCCTTAGTAAGACCAAGAAAAGGAAATAGCACTGACCATTTTCGTGTTCGTCGTCGTACGTCCTAGCGGCAACAGTAGTAGTAAGAATAATAGCATGATTATCGCCTGGAAAACAGTTTTACTCTTTTTCCAATAGTCAGGGGAAAAACTATGCAGAACTATGAACCACTGACATACGGACAAATACGGTAGCGAAAATAGACAACTGTAGTATGAAAACTATTAGAGAAGAGAGATTGCAACGATACGAGCGGTAGGCACAGAGAGTTCCACTACACGATGGTGAGCCAACTGGTCGCGCTGTAGCAAATGGGATTTCCCCACCCACCTCAAATGGCAGATATAAGTTGAAAGGAGGTCCAAAAACGATGTTGTGCATCCCTGAGAGTCAGGTAGATTCAAGTGATCGGTTTTGGATTGACTTATACCTTTGTTATGCATGCTATCATATTCTCACATTCGTAACGGCGTGAGTGTGCTCACAAAGAGAACGCTGTGCTCCGCATGTCATTTAAGCGAAGAAATTATAGCTAAATGAGAGGAGTACATCGAATAATTATGGTTAAAGGGATGCGAAACAATGTCGGTACTGGCAACATTCATTGCCAGCCCTTCAACATCAAGTCATAATGAAGACGAGGTTGAAGCGTTCTATAAGGGAGTTGAGAAGTTATTCATCAAGTCTCCTACCTTCTACAAGATTATAACTGAAGACTTTAGGTGCAAAACTGGAACCAGGAAAACGTTTGTGGAACTTCACATCGAGATACATGGGTGGAACGTCCTGCCTAACAAATGTCGCACTTTACGTTCTACGCAACGTCGAACCAACACTTTCACTAAGATTCTTGTTTCCGTAGAAACAAGAGAAGTTCTCAGAAAGGCTATGAAAAAACAGAGGTTAGAAAATCACCCTAAGCTCTAATTTCACTTCTTTTGTTCATATCTAAGCTAAGACTATGAAAATTCTGCATGATATTCGAGTGGAACAAACTGCACCTAGAACGACGGTAGGGGATAGCCCACGAATTCAACTCCGACCTCTAGGAGATAAATATCTGCTTCTTTTGCACCATCTCAGAAAAAATGGAACGTGAGTGAATTATCGGACTCGAATATCCGAAAGACGTGTCATCTGTCTTCATTGACAAGCGCTTCCGGCTCAGAATTCAAAACATGATGGTAATGAGAAATCAGCAAAACCGTGTTATTTTAGATGAAAGGAAATGGAATAGCTGCAAATATTGCTCAGTCTACCTGCAGGCTGTCATCTACATTGTCTTTACTTGTGTCGTATTTAAAACTATCCAATCTTCGTATATAATGCTGAGATATTTGCAATACTCCGGACTGCTGGTGTCTGCGGTGGGGAGCGAAAGGGCTATTGCCCTTTCCGAGGAGTAGCCCACTTCACCATCACATCATCCGGGTTGACGGGTGATTGCTGATGGCAAAAGATCAATAGAACTAGCTGAGAAACAAGCAAAACGAAGGACCCGGATGGTGTGGTGATGAAGTGCGCTACTCCCCGGAAAGGACAATAGCGCGCGTTTGTTCCCCACCGCACACACCTGCGGTCCGGAGTTTTGCAAATATATCAGCATTACATGCGAGTTATATTTCGCAACATACTCTGCCATTAAAAAGAAAAAGACAGTAAATAAAAGAGTTAAGATTATCCAATCTTCAATCCTAGCTTGATCTCAAGTTGAAAAGATACTAGGAGTATCCGACCGTCCACCGTTGCTTGTATCGAAACCAAAATTTTTGGATATCCAACCTTCTTTCCAGGAACACACTAGACTATTTCTTTCAATTCCTTCTTGGACTACTAAGCTAATACGAAGATGATAAAAAGATTTATTTGGGAGACGCTTCGATATCTTGGTCTTCTTTAAAGCCGACAACCCGAATCGATGTCAACAGTCGTTTATACTCTCTATATGGTGGCTTCGTCATCGTACTGAGTCGAATATTCTTAGAATAAACTATCTTCTCTAAGCATTGCCCTCTTATACAGGATCGTTGTTGATGATACTGATTACACTTGTTTATACTGTTGAGCTTGCACGAAGTTGACAGAGATGTTTATTCTGCCAACGTTTTGACGCTTTCGTCTTCACTAGAGCCGACGATCCTTGTCGATGGTCCATAGTGGTTCCTCTTCTCGATGTGGCGGCTTCTCTCGCATCGAACCGGCTCTGATGAAGATGAAGACGTCGAAACGTTAGCCGAATAAACATCTCTATCCACCTTGTGTAACCTCAGCAATATAAACAAATGTTATTTTACTACCGAGGTTTAATGACGGTCGGTTTAAAAACTACTGATTACACTCTTAATCGTTTTACTTACTGCCTACTATTTTGAATGGCAGGGTATAATGCGAAATATAACTTCAACGATGCTGAGATATTTGCAAAACTCCGGACCGCACGTGTATGCGGTGGGGAACGAACGCGCTATTGTCTTTTCCGAGGAGTAACGCGTTCACCACCACACCACGCGGGTCCTTCGTTTCGGCTGTCTCTCAACTAGTTTTATCGATCTTTTGCCGTCAGAAATCACCAGCAAATCGGCAATGAACCCAGTTAAGCTGAGGCTTTAGGGGCCCACCAGATCAATCCCGGTGGCGGGTGATTGCTAACGGCAAAAGATCGATAGAACTAGCTGAGAGACAGACGAAATGAAGGACTCGCGTGGTGTGGTGGTGAACGCGTTACTCCCCAGAAAAGACAATAGCGCGTTCGTTCCCCACCGCATACATGTGCGGTCCGGAGTTTTGCAAATATCTCAG